CAGACACACAGACACACAGACACACAGACACACAGACACACAGACACACAGACACACAGAACTGACCTCTGGGGTACAGTACCGGTGGGGACAGGTCTGTCTCTGTATAACACTGGGGTACAGTACCTGTGGGGACAGGTCTGTCTCTGTATAACACTGGGGTACAGTACCGGTGGGGGACAGGTCTGTCCCTGTATAACACTGGGGTACAGTACTGGGGGGGACAGGTCTGTCACTGTATAACACTGGGGTACGGTACTGGGGGGGAATGGGTCTGTCAACGTGTAACACTGGGATACAGTACTGAGGGGGACGGGTCTGTCAATGTGTAACACTGGGGTACAGTACTGAGGGGGACGGGTCTGTCAATGTGTAACACTTGGTTGCAGAAAAGGTTTACCAGGATGCTGCCTGGATTAGAGGGTATGAGCTGTAAGGAGACGCTGGAAAAACTTGGATTGTTTTCTCTGGAGCCGAGGGGAGGCTCGATAGAAGTCTATAAAACGATGAGATCCACAGTTAAGATTCTGACTGTCAACCCTTTCTGCCCCTCAGAGTTGAAATGTCTAGGGACATTTAAAACTAGGGAGCATGCATTTAAGGTGAGAGTAGGAGGTTCAAAGGAGATGTGAGGGACAAGTTTTTTTTTACACAGAGTGGTAGGAGTGTAGAACGCGCTGCCAGGGGTGGGGTTGGAGGCAGATAAGATAGGGCCGTTTAAGGGACTTTTAGATAAACACATGGATGTGCAAGATATGGAGAGATAGGGACCAAGGGCAGGCAGAAGGGATTTAGTTTAATTTGGCATCAATATGGAGGGTCAAAGATCCCATTCTTGTGCTGTACAGTTCTAAACATCATGTGTATAAGAAAAACAAAACAGACGGTCTGGGTGATTCTCACATCGCCACTTGTGGAGTCTTGCTGTGTGGCACTAGACATGGCCCACAGGGCCGCCGCCCAACTCGCTCCCACGAAGAAAGCGAGGAAACGCCGCGTGCGACAGGGACGGAAATGCAGAAAACGGGAGCAGGAAGAGGCCATTCGGCCCCACCGCCTCCAGCCTGCTACAGGATTGCGGCTCATCGCCCCCAAGACTGAAAATTGGATTTTGGATCGAGGGGTCGGGTTCAGAGGGACGAGTGGCCTGCTGCCGTCCCCAGCTCGCGCGGGCGGCTCTCGGATAATCGAGGCGGTGACAGGCGCTGAAGAAATGCAAACCCTTCAGGAGGCAGGAGGGCTGCACGAAATAAAAAGCCAGAAGAAATGTAAATGCGGCGAGAGTGAGGTTAAAACGACAGCTGGACAGGGGAAAGAGGATTTTAAATAAAACAGGGAATGAGCTCGAACTGTACATTCAGCAGTTTGTTCTCACCAGAGCCTGGGCCAGACACTTAATTAAAAGCTCCAACATTTCAACTCAAAAACATGATATTAAATAAAAAGTAAAGTGCTTTGGCTCCAGCTGGCAGAGTTCATTTGCCGTTTTGAGACTCTTTTGTCAGCGGACAGGGTAACAATCTTGCGGTTTGTAGATGACACAGAATCCTGGCAACACTTCAAGTGGTGATCAGAAACTGTACAACATCAAGGAGGGGCAGACAGAGAGAGAGAGAGCGCTGTGCAGCACGGAAACAGACCCTTCGGCCCAACCCGTCCGTGCTGACCAGATATCCTAATTTAATCTACTCCCATTTGCCAGCATTTGGCCCATATCCCTCTAAACCCTTCCTATCCATGTCCCCATCCAGATGCCTTTTAAATGTTGTAATTGTACCAACCCCCACCACTTCCTCTGGCACTCCCCCCATACCCCCAACCCACCTCTGCCTGTCTCCATGCCCCCCCCCCCCCCCCCCCCCTCTCTCTCTCTCTCTCTTCCCCCCCCCACCCCCCCGCCCCCCTCCGCCTGTCTGTCCCTGTGCCTGTCTGCATTTTATCAGCTGGTTGCTGGTCCATGGGATTTGACCTACAGTGTGTCCTTGAAGCTCAGTCACTGCAGTGTGGGGGATGGGGGCCTGGGGGTCGTGCAGGTCCATTGGTGGGGATGGGGGAGGTGATAGGGAACCGGCATCCTCCCCATCCTCCGGGTCTAACGATGCGGGAAACGTCTGGCCTGTCCAGGAGCTCCAGCCGCAGCAGGTCCCCAGCCGCCTTGGGGCTGAAAGAGTTAAACTCCAACTGTCCTGGAGATGGAAGGGAGGTTGCGGGGGCAGGGGTGGTGGTTTGGTGGGGGAGGTAGAAATGTTGATTCAGGGGGTTTTGTGGCTCAGTTTGAGGGGCAAGGCTCTCCCCTCTGTGTGAGAGAGGGGGGGGACGTGGGCAGTCTGGGATCTGATCCGGGAAATGTGCAGGGGCAGGAATGCCAGGATTGGGGACCCACTTCCAGAGGGCTGGGGGAGAAGAGAGACGTGAAGGGGCAGGTCAGGAACTCTCAACCTCTCTTCTCCCCTTCCTTCAAAAATAAAAACTTTAAACAAAGATAGTCAAGGTCAGAAACCGTCAGTTTCCTTTCATCCCTGTGAAGGATTTTTGGCACGAGCCGCTGTTTAAACAGAGAATGGGAGCAGGTGTAGGCCACTTGGCCCAGTCTGCTGGCCCAATCAGTAGGATCACAGCTGGTCATCCAACTCAGTCCCTTGTTCCCACTTCTCTCCCCCTCTCCTTCTCCATCCCCACCCCACTATTTCCACCAACACCCCCCCGCAATACCCTTTAATTTGCTTTACCCTCAAGAGCTACGTGCCTGTGTAACAGCCTCAAGTTGGGGGGGTGGGGGGTGGGGGGTGAATGGAGGTTTCGTTTTATTTTTGGTAAGTCACAGAGAGGTATAAACTTGCAAACTCTTGCTGCGTCTGTGTCTGCGCACGCGCGCACCTGTCTGCGTCTGTGTCTG